TGGTTCGCCTCTTATTGAATTCACCTCCCAGAGGGCATGAAGCACTTAGCTACCGAGCACTCAGTGTCACAGACTTCGTTAATAACGCTAAATAGCTGCGGGGATCGCTTTTCACGACCTTTTTCTAATAATTGGAAATATAATAAACCTTGAACGACGTTACTTTGCCAAATATATTACGTGGAAATTTCCAGTCGAAATATAAGAAAATATCTTATGCCTACTATGAAATTTCGAGGCGAAACTAGAAAATATAATGCCCATTTTATAGATAGTGACATTAACCTAATGATTAAGTATGCGGACTGCGAAGTTCAAAAGTTATTTACTTCTATTCTTTATTTCTAAAAGTAACCGTTTTAAAATAAAAAGTAATATTTGGTTAGAAGAAATCATAACATTAATCTATAAGTTCACACGTTCTCTTTATATAAAATAAGGATGCCAAACGAGCACACAGTCCACCTGATGGTAAGTGGATGCTGCAGCCCATTGACATCTACAGCTATTCTCGATTAAGAATTAAAATGCAGTTACGTTGCCACCCCTGAGGGCTTTGACGAAAAGCCTCGTTTCTAGTAAAAAGGGTCTCCGGTTCTCTATACTCAACACACGAAACACCGCAGTATTGAGCAGCTATTTTACGCTGATATTATGTGAGAGAATAGTCCTTCCCTGGACCGACCCAATCTTGCTATAATCATAATATAGCTGCAGGCTGACTCTACCACGTAAAAAAAGATTGATTTATTATTATATTTTTATTTGTTTATTTGACTTAGTTAAATTTTGTATGAAGAAGGAGTGCAGAAAGCTTAAATTTACGTATATTAAGTGTTACAAATACATTCAATATAATTATTTGTACATTGTTTACGTTCATACTGCCAATAGGAAACGCATAACTTGGACAAATTATGTTGTTTGTTGACTTTCATACTGCCAATGTCTCGGAGTAGGTAGCATAATATGTATATTGGTACTCTAAGGTCAATGATAGTCGGTAGTCAAAGAGTCGCACAGAGTAGAGATTGTCGCCAAAGAATTTTAAAACGTCAATGCCAACAAATCAATAATTACGGACAGATTGATTGGATAAGCGGTGAGTTATGTATGATTTCAAATGTTCCCCTTTTTCAATAGTGTAGAGTATGTCAAGGCAAAAAGTGTTCTTTTTATATTTTGTAAATTAGATGTTTAGTGTTTCTCTTCTCTACATAGTATAAAACAAAGTCGCTTCCCGACGTCTGTACGCTTTTTGATGAGGTATTCACCAATAGACAGAATTATTCAATAGGAATTTAATAAATGATATAATATATAATACGCATGTATTATATAGATAATACATGCGAGATATATATATTATATAATTCTTCTGTCCGTGTGTATGTGACTGAACTCCTAAAAAGGCTGGATCGATTTTGATGAAATGTTGTGCGTGTGTGTGTGTGATTAAGTTGATTAGAGATTGGTTTAGATTCACAATTGGACCCGGTAGGTGTCGTTTTTGTCAAGATCCAGAAATCAAACGTACGAAGCCGGGGCGGATCGCTAGTCTTATATTAATGTGCAGTTGAAAGTGAAATACAGCTTCCGATAGTGTCCCCATTTCGTCCCGTGGGTATTGAAAAGACGAGTACGCGATCGTCAATCCGCCTGCTAGTGGCGATTAAGGCACATCCTTCCTACAATGAAGGAGGGGAGAGAGGACTTTTACACGCTGATGAAGAATAATTATAACTTTTAACATAAAGTAAAAACAGATTTAAAATTGCTGATAAAGAAATTATTTATTTACAGCCCTTACAGGTGGATTTTTTTTCTCCAAATTTATATGGGACCACCCTTGAAGTATTATATGGGACCACCCTTGAAGTATAACCTATTCAATAAAAAAGAATCATCCAAATTGGTTCAAAATTTGCGAAGATATCGCGTAACATACATACAAAAAAAATACAGTTGAAAACCTCCTCCTTTTTGAAGTCAGTTAAAAATAAGATAAATTTTCTTTTATAAACACTTTCATAAGCAAAAATTTTTGCAAACCGAAATACGAGTACCATTAAATTATTTACAAAAAGTAACCCTTAACAATATAAAATAATTTGAAGGTGACGAGTACATTAATTATTATTCAAAAGTAGTGACCGACCAATTGGTTTCGGTTTCGGCAAGTTTCGGCAAAAAAATCTAGTTTTGGGTAATAGTTTCGGTTTCGGTAAAAAATCTGCCGAACCTTCGTCGGCGACGCCGCTCAAGTGTTCGTGGATTATCGTTTGTTGTTCGGATGAGTTCGTTACTCGTGTATTACTCATAATTATATTACGTTAATGCTCATATTAGTTTTAACAATATTGTGAACACAATAAAATATGTTCTCAATTAGCGAGTAACTTTTTATGGGTGTAAGCGTTGATTTTTTTACAAAATTTTTTCCCACCAGTCACGCTAAATGGCAGTGTCCTGAAAAAAGTCTCGCAGTTCAAATATTTGGGCCACTGGATCACTGAGACGCTTTCAGACGATATTGATATAGATAGGGAAGCGTAGGGCGTTGTCTGTTCGGGCCAATGTGGTTGGCACGTAGGCTTGCGCGCTGTACTGCAGAAGTAAAGGGTACGATGTTCAGAGCATTTTTTTTCTTTTATAGGATAGGGTGACAAACGAGCACACAGTCCACCTGATGGTAAGTGGTTACTGTGTCCCATAGACATCCACATCTATCCTCAATAAAGACTCAAGATGCAGATGCGATGTCACCCGTGAGGACTAAGATGGAATGCCTCTTTTCCAGTAAAAAGGGTCTCCGGTTCTCTACAATCACCATACGAAACACAGCAGCATGAAGCTGCTATTTTACGCTGGTATTCTGTGAGAACGTGGTCCTTCCCCGGTCGAGCCGACCCATTCGTGCTACAACTATACTACTAATATAGCTGCAGCATGGCTCTACCACGTAAAGCATTCATATTCTGCCAATTATTCTACATGTGCAGCCTATGGGTCAAGTACACTATTATAGTACAATACAACTAATATTTTAATTTCGATGTGTATTTATGAGGTGTGATATTGACTAGTTCCGAAATAAATGATTTTAATTTTAATTTAATTTCCTATCTTTATATGTATAATAAAATACACCAGATTTCTGTCTATAATAAAAAAATAACATGTCTAAATAAGTTTCGGTTTCGGTTTCGGCCGAAACTGACACCCAGACCGAAAGTTCGTTTTCGGTTTCGTATTCGGTTGAAAATCCGGTTTCGGTCAGACACTAATCAAAAGTTCATTGTTAGTGATTGATACTAAAACATTTAAGTTAAACTCGTGCTTTTATACAAATAATATATAAAAACTGTTTTTGTATGTTCTAAATCCATTCACATCATGGGATCGTGTGGTGTGTATTATAAAAGCGTCCGTTTGTTGATTGCATTCGACGCGCTCGAGATATCCAGTCGTTCCCGAAGAGCTGTCGCGCTAATTGAATCCATTTTCACAAGACTGCCATCCGCACCTCTAATATTGCGAGTGTTGTAATGCCCTGGAGTATACAACTGTTTGTTAAGTGAAATTGGATTCTATTCACTATTTTGCGATAGATTTGTAAAATCAATTTGGACTACGATTACAAACTAATTATACTCTTGAAATCTTCTATTGGTCGTTATAAATTTATCTTATACTGTATAACACTTTTGTACGCCTTACTTTGTGTTATTGTGCAAATTACCCGTTGTTGATTTCGAGAATTTACATACAGTAGTACAAATATGTTTTTAATCCTTAGGATGAATATTTATGTGTATTTATTATACTTAGCGTGTGGGGATATTTTACCTCAGTGTCATTTGATTATTTTACGCATAACAAGACCAATATTATATTATATATAAGCCGTCGTGCTCAGCTATCTATGGCTTTGGTCGGAGTTGCCCTGCGTGACAGACTTTGAAATGAGGATATCCGCAATAGAAACAGACTAGACATGTCTCAACGGATGAGTAAAATGAAGTGGTATGGGCCGGCCATTTATCTCGAAGAACCGACAACCGATGTGGAAAAAAGGTTCTCGAGTGGCAGCCCCACACCAGTAAAGATATGTAGGGTGGTCCCGCCACTGGATGGAGTGACAACTTGGTAAGACACTAGGAATATCGATGGAAGATCGATGGGTGCAGGTGGCTCAGGACCGTGTGGCATTCCTTGGGGTGGTTTCTGTTGAGCAGTGTAATTGTGATGGGCTGTAATGATGATGATAATCCGTGCTAACTCAGCCTTAAAATTTCGTAGTATATTCAAACAAACAATTGTCTGATCTACCACGAACTCTGAAGAAATCTTGTTAAGCGAACCAGTATATTTGAGAAATTAAAATATTTTAAAGACGACGTGTAAAATCTTCTCCAATACTAAGAGCACTTTGAGGAGGAGACCTGTAGAAATCGATATTTTTATCTTATCTGCCGACTTCCAAAAGCAGACGGTAGATACTCAATTCGACTGTATGTTTTTTTTATGTTACCTCATAACTTTTACGGGGTGAAATTATTTCGATGATTCTTTTTTTGTTTGAAAGCTGATACATCTCGTGTGGTACCATATAAATTTGATCAAGGTCAGACCAATAGTTATTGAGTTATTCTTAATAACTTCTATTGAAGTCGGCAGTACAAATTAAAAAAAAAACTTACAGTCTACTCGATAGTAATTGGCTACTACAGTCCGTGGATACCTGCACCCAACTTCAAAGAAAGCAGGCAACAGATGCATTGCCACCTCTGAGGACCTGGATGTAATTTCTTACAGCCTGTAGTTTAACCAGCTCTCTAATACCCTTAAGAAATAGTAGGAGGATGGGACCTCCCCAGACGGAGTCCTAAGCAGGAAAGAGAGTCCTACCACCTAGTTAGTTTACACTTTTATGTACCAATAATGCCATTACCGTGATTAGAAAGAACATACAATATAATTGATGTTTTTGTCCATAGAGGAGGAATGCTATCACTGCATGGCGAGTCTAGTGGCGTCGAAGGAAAAGATGTTCATCACACAGACGAAGCTACACAATGAGGTCACCTGGAAAACGGTCATGCAGATTGCCAAGAAACATGCCGTAAGACTGTTTTTAATTAAATATTCTGTCATTGCTCCAATATTAATGTTGATTGATGATAACAATTTCTAAGAAAACCGATTACACTATTCCGTGATCTTTTTTGAAGTGACAAACGAGCACGTGTTCCACCGTCGCGTCGACCTGATGGTAAGAAATGCTGTGGCCCAAAGACAACTATTGTTAATAAAGAATCAAAATGTAGTTGCGATGTCACCCTTGAGATCTAAATTGGAATGCCTCGAAGCCAACTTATGTCTGCTAATTATTGTTTTACATTTAAGAGCTTTCGTAGCGTTGTTTCTTCCATCGTAGTTATTAAAATAAAACTAAAGTCTTTATGCCATAGTTTTGATTGTCGTATGTAAATTGACACGATTAACACATTGCGCTCGGTCCAAAGTTTTCAACAAATTTTAATGTTTTTATACATCACCAAACGTACAATAGCAGTGTAAGGTTGCACTGTATAACAAAATAAAACTGTTACTTTGTTAACTAAGTGAATATCATGTAACATTTGCACGGGAAAACTTGTTAAACATATACGGCTGCCTCGTTTAAATACTTAATCATAGTGAAGAGCGACGAAACACAAAACGAGGCAATCCTCTAAACATTTTAATTTTATTATTATTATTATTAATTCTTTAAAAAACGTTACCCCCACACTAGGATTTTCTCCTGTGTCGTGGAGGCAGTTTACAAACATAAATTGCACAAGGACAAACATCCAGACCCGGAACAATTATTTGTAGGCCATACAAATAGTTTTTCCGTGCGGGATTCGAACCCGCGGCCCCCAGCGCAACAACCGATTGCTAAGTCACTGCGCCACGGAGCCGTCAATTATTCATATTAAATTAAATTTAAAGTATTAAACATTCTAATTATTTTAAAGGATTTATCAAAGTAAAAAAGTAATACAAATAGAGAATTTTACCCAAGAAAAAAAGGTTTTTAATAAAATTATCTTAGCCACTTGGCTCACAGTGTTTTGTGGCAATCCTTTGGGGAGGCGTATGTACAGAATTGGACTTTTTTCAAACAGGTAGAATCTAGTAATATTATATAAATTTATTTCTAATCTGTAATTCTTGAACAATGTCAAAAATGAGATTTAAATATATAAAGCCCTTATAAGCAGAAAATTGCGTGACAAAACATCACAATGCAAACTGTTATCGGCTCTACCCTCTACCTCGACGAAATAACACGCAAAGCCTCTATTAGCCCTGCATTTGTTTTTATTTCGAAAATAATTTACATATGGATTTTATGACTTATGAGAGAGTCCTGACCTAAAAAGAGGTTTAAGATTCTTAGTATTGTCTCTCAAATAAAGTACTTTAAGTACGCCAGGTAACTGCCATACAGTAAATCCCTCACGTCACGTCCCGTATGTATCTGTCTACTTTGTTCACTTTAGCATGAGATTTTATGTAAAGATAAAAACAGTGTTTCATAAAGGTTTTCGCCTTTACTAGTACATGCGCTAAAACTTCTGTGAAATTACAAATTGAAAAATTGGAATTACATTTATTATATCAACATAAACCGCAATAAATTTATTATATTAATTTAGATAATATAGGTAAATTTATATATTATTATAATAAAACAAAATACAAAAACATTTTTTTATATTTTTTCTTGTTTTTCACACTATTAGTGTTACTTATAGCATTCTTTCTCGACATTATTTTTTTCTTTACCCTTCTTCAATTAGTATCATTTCAAATGCGAGATTTAAGATTGAGCTCATAGACGAAATTTTAGGTCTTAGTACACACAATTATTGTTTCTTTTTTTTTTATATATATTGTTGTAGATTATTAAATTCAAAACTGCACGTGTCGCCTTTGTAAATCCGTGCATTCTTTCTACTGTTTTAATAGATTTTAGCATTTACTATATTGAACATTATATACTATATTGACTACTAGTTTAATGTTTATTTATTATAAATAAATAAAAGGATAATTTAGTCTTATTTGAGTACCTTATTTAATTTGTTTCTAATCATCACTTAATTGTACCTCTTAAGAACCCATTTTGTTTACATAAAATCTCATTCTCAAATGAACAGAGTATAGAGCAATAACAATAAGTATTACCGAAAACACAATGAGATACCGCTTTGTGCTGTTACGAAAAGACTGGATGGGGTCAGAGACACTTGTATAGCATACATTGAATCAGGTAAAAGTTATTCAAACTGGAAAAGTCATTTGTGTGGGGCACCAACGGGTCGTGGTTTACGGGCCGATGACAATAATGATAACATATATCAGCTTTGACATTTCATGAGGTTAGTTAGTACTAAAATGGAATAATGCAAATATGCTAACAAAAATATAAAAGAAGTTAAAATTAATTAGCCAAGACCCACGTGAAAAGCGATGTGTCTTACCTAGTTTGAAGAGGGGAGGGAACGAAGAAGCTGTCTCCCTCCTTTTCTCCGCCTCCATCATTCCACAACCATCACAAGCCTTCGTATTATCTTCTATTTTGTTAAGACAAAAGGCATGCGAGTCTATAGGAGCTGGTGGCTCAGGGTCATAATTTGTGGTAGTCTGTGAGAGGTATCTGCAGAATAAATAGGTCGGTTCGACCAGGGAAGGACTGCGCCATCACAGAATATCAGTGTCAAATGGCACCTTAATGTTAAGTATAGTGAGTGAAGAGAAACTGGAGCCCATTTTACTGATAACGAGGTATTTCATCTTAGTCTTCAGTGTAAATGCATTGCGATTTTTAATTGACGATAGATGTAGATGGACCACAGTATTTACTTACCATCAGGTGGACTGTGTGCTCGTTTCTCATTCTTAATGCGATATAAAAAGGGTTGTAATGGTGATAGCTATGCTGATGGTCGCTTTAAACTACCATAAAGGATTTTCGTACATTTCTAACGTGAAACAACCATCTGAATATGCAAACTACACAAAAATAAAACTAGAATTATACAACTATGAAAACGATATTTACTAATCAAACAAAACAAGACAATACAAAGTACACGTCAAAATTACTGACCGTATTCACGTCGCTATAAATTTGATAACGGTATCGGCCCTAAAGGCCATAGGCGACGGTACTGACCGCAAGCAACGATTCCCTCCCTGCCCGGGTTAATGACACGAGAATTACAAATCGATGAAATAACTTTCAACCGAGCGAAGCTGTATGAAACTGTGGCAAATGTCACTTCTAAATGTATTTATAAAAAAAATATTAATCTTGTACAGGCATCTTATAATGTTATGTGTGTTCACCTTTTGACTAATTGTGATAAACACAGACCATTTCACTCGGCCTACACTTCCTTATCCGGTTACACTGATTGTCCAGTTGTCAGAGATACGAGTACTAGATATGATTATGGTACATCAACATCTAAATAAATAAAACCATGCTTTTCAAATTTGTACTGAAAAATTTTCTAAAAAAAAAAATAATCCTAAGTCCTTAACATAGCCAGAATAATATGTAATACAGCTGTATTATACTGTTTTTCTTTAAAAGCATAGTACTGGCCCGGAATTTGAACCTGGGAGGACATGATCAGCAGTCGCTTTTACGGCCACCAGACAAATGAGGCATTCGATTAATAATAAACTCTTTAAATTATAATGTACGTGTGCTCCAGAAAGCCTATCCTCCCACACGTCCACAATAAACAGTGGGCGGGGAAATCAATTCCTGTAACTCGTGTTGGTTGCAGAAGTCGGCCGCCCAGCACCTCTCGCGACTGTCCGCCGCGATCGGCCCCGAGCGCATCTACGCCGACTGGCAGTGGTGGATTTTGGCCGCTCTGCCCTTCCCTCATCTCGTACGAGTGCTTGATTGTTTCTTCAACGAGGGGATTAAGGTAGGTCTTGAGCACGTGGAATATAGTAGAATGATTTATTTTTATTGAGTGTAGCATAAATATACTTTTTGAATTGAATAAAACTATTTTTACGGATTTTATCGCGTTTAATTAACTTATTTTATATTCCCGACGTTCACGAGGGATCTGTAACAGCAAACACCTGGCCGCCGAGCTTCAGCACGTCAAGAAGGTTCTGCACGACAACAAGCTTCGGGTTCTGCGCCTACGTCACAGTGACCGAGTGAAGCCGGCCACAGTCGAGCGTGTGCCCGCTGTACTACCGTATGTCAGAGGTGTCACAGACAAGATTGGCTACATCTTGAAGCGAGCTTCTATTAGAACATTCTTCAAGCCGCCGAAGAAGATTAGTCAGTTCTTACCATCCGTCAAGTGCAATATTCCTCTACAAGATGCAGGAGTGTACAAGCTTGATTGTGAGTGTGGTCTCTCATATATAGGGTAAACAAAACGATCTATAAAAACACGCGTAAAAGAAAACATAGCTGACGTGAAGCACCAACGTTCCGGGAAGTCTGCAGTTTGTGATCATATCTTAGACGGCCCCCGCCATTACATTAGATTTGATAAACCACAAATTCTAGCGAATGAACATCGATTCCTGCCAAGGATGATACGTGAGGCTATTGAAATTAAAAAACATCCTAATTTCAATAGAGAGGGAGGCTGGGTACTACCACCTGCTTGGGATCCTGTAATTCATAAAATTAAAACTAAACCCAAGCATACCACTGCAAGACTTCAAGACACAGTTAGTTCATTCTGCGTAGATCGGACCAAAATTATTAATTAAAAAAGCTGAAGGTACTCCGGTTTAACTCTGACATCGGGACGTCAATCACCTCAGTCCCCCGTGACCACGGTTGCTGGAAAGCAACCGAAACGTCGGGAATATAAAATAAGTTAATTAAACGCGATAAAATCCGTAAAACTAGTTTTATTCAATGTTTTGTGTTCGCGTAAATATAAGAAATCATTATACTTTTTGAATGTTCCTTTTTTCTTTGTTACAAAATCTTAAACAATAAAAATGGAATGAAAACTTTGTAATTATATGGAAACTTACTTTTCAGTTTTGCTTGAAAATGTATACAATTAAATATATAATAAGATGCACCTAAAAATACATTGTGGTGTTTATTTTATTACTTTGAAACTACAAAACTTAGCACTGCACTCTTCATTAGCCAAAATGAATGCCTGAATTGATTATTTACGCCAAGATTTTCTTTATTTTTTATTTTCAGGTATTCTACAGAATAGCGTTAGCTATCCTTATTCTGTTTCATAAACACTCCACCAACACGAATTCCGAGTGGTACGCCGAAGCGACCAAGAATGGCGTCGACCACGCCATTGACAAGTTCTGCAGGAATATGCCATCATCGCCGACGAAGCTTCTCAGGACCGCTTTCAGCATAAGGGCATTAAGGTTTGTACTTTACTTGGAGCCCTTTATGTCGTTATCGTTTGAAAGTAAAAGTTTTTGTCACTGTTTTTTCTATGATTTTAGTAATTTCAATGGTTTTAGAGACACTTATACGTCTAGATTAGAGTTACTAACCATATATATATATTTTTTTTTAATATAAAATAAAGGTAACAAACGAGCACACAGTCCACCTGATGACAAATGATGGTGATCTATGGACTATAGTATATAGTCCATAGACAGCACCGACCTACATTTATCCTTGATTAAAAATCAAAATGTAGATGCAAATGCATCGTTAACCCTGATGGCTAAATTGGAATACCTCGTCACGAGTAAAAAGGGCCTCTGATTCTCATTATTAATAGCAGCATTATACATACATACATACATATAATCACGCCTCTTTCCCGTAGGGGTAGGCAGAGACCAGTTCTTTCCACTTGCTACGATCCGTACATACTTGTTTTGCTTCGTCCACTTTCATTATTCCCTTCATACATGCTCTACGGTTTAGGGTACTCTTGACCTGGCCTTTTTTTTTAGCATTATGCTACTATTTAACGCTGGTATTCTGTGTGAGCGTGGTCCTTCCCTGGTAAAGCCGATCCATTCGTGTCGCTGACCTGATATAGATAGTTACAGCTTTAAGATAATAATATTTCGTGGCATGAATCATTAGACGAAGTGTCGACCTGGTAAGATATGCAGAAAGTCGATGGATGCAGTGCTGCACGTGGCTCAGGACCGTGCTTTGAGGTTCCTTAGGGGAGGAGATAAATATATAAAAATTATACAAGCTATTAAAGACAGTAATATTTTTTTAAATAATATTATATCTTTACATTTAATCTATCTTTCTATAGTTTAACCTTGTATGTGGAGTAGCCGATTTGAAATTTTCCCTCCCTAGTTGTTTGACTTAAATGAGAATGAGTTTTCTCGCTTCTTAGATTCAGATACTACTCGATAAATTAAAGGAGCTGTGGATACATACATACCACTAACGAAACCTTTTAACAGTTCACAGTACATATCACGGGTATTCATAAAGACGGAGATGACTCTCAAGTCGAAGCAAGTGATAACCGGGTCGCGGCTGGTCCGCTCGCGTTCCTCCGACAACTTGCCCACCAGCCAGTCGCAAGTCAACATCCAGATGATGTCGCACACGCTCACCATCCGCGAGGTGAGTGAAGCGAACTTGCTTCAAACCATAGCAATAAGACTGATTGACAAATTGTTCATTATACAATCGACTCCAATTCTTGTGTAATGGGAAACAATAAGGTCGACTGACTATACAATGTTTTTGTATGCTTCAATAATTTATGAGTAAATTTTGAAACTCATTTTAAATTGATATATGATGCGAAAGATGGGATAATGATCTGATCCTCATACTCATATTTTTACTACAAAAATTGTGTTGTTTTTTAATTTGAGAGAAAAACAAATGGATATTTGATAAATTAACAAAACAATCTCAGCTAATAACATATTGGGTTCATGATAATTTACTTATCTAACCTACACGAGTCCGCAATGTTAAACGAACACACTGCACCCACACGCAACATACGAAACTGACTCTTAAACAAATATAATTAATGTACTGTATATTAGAAAATATTTTACTTGGTTTGCAGAGAATGTCTGAGGAAACGTGCAAACAAATGGTATCGTACACGACAGCATTAGGCGTGGCTTTGGCTTTTCTTTTTCATAAGTTCATTCAATTGCGTTTCTAACATGACTAACTTCAGACGCATCGGATTCGAGTACAGATCCGATGAAAACATAGACCATAGTCTAGATCTATTGTAAGATAAATCTTTTGTATGTCGTTACACGAAGTTATTTTACTTTTCGGTCTGTGTAGCCAGAGATTTGTGGATGACGGTGTTGTGCTCTTTCTATGTGATCATTCCACTCGGGATTTGTTTCACGAGACTGGAATTTTATTTTGCGATTCTTAAAATGAACGTTCATTTCACCGGCTTTTAATGTCAGATTTATTATTATTATTATCATGTTCCCTTCATTGTTTTTAATTGTCGTTCCTTTTTGTGAAGTGACTGACATCATCAGATTTTTAATAACGATTTTTTTTTATTTGCAATTTCGTTGCGAAATTTCGCATGCGTGTGAGATAAGTTTCTTTTTTTAAATTTTGACTAAACGTAAAAATATTCAGTAACAGCCAATGAATATAGCTTTTAATATTAACATTCGTTGATAGGGCATCAATTATAGTGATGTGACAATGGCATGTTGTCGATTGTTTTGTGTGAGTGCTAACAGTGTGTCGATTTTCCCGTTAGGGCTCACATTCGCCGGGCCCGCGCGCCCTATCGATGGGCGTTTACCCTATTCAAGCGATCAAGTCGCAGATTCTAGACCAGAGCGAAGTAAGATTAAGTAGTATTAAGTCACAAACCTTAAGTGTCGCTCTGTTGGTAGCTTGCGACCTTATCGATGTTTTGATGCACTGCTTAATACTTAGGTGTTTTTTTTTTATATCATTTATAGCCAAGCTTACAAGATCCTCCAAGATTGACGTCGTCGCTTCAATTTTTGTTGTTTTTATAATTTGCTATTTTATAACGTTGTTAAATATGCAATGGTTGGTTCAGATACTGGTTATTCCATTTTTATATTGATTGTAATAACTAATCAAAAATTTCACACAGTCTGTACCAACCATAGAGATATGCATGAAGTTTAAAAAACACATTTTCTTTCATGTTTATAAATGTAATATGTATTATTCTATCAATGTAAATGTTCTGAAAATGTTGTATTTTTACATTCGTTGCAATAAGTTTAAGTTAAACAAATAAATCAATTGTTCAAATAATAAGGAGCATCAACCCTAAGACGCTTTGTTAAACTTTTCCCGTTGATGTATTTTCATCACCATTTTCATTTCACACAATCACATTTTGATTTTGATGAATTACAATTATTCAATTGAGCATATACTTATATGACATGTCATGCAGAAAGTTTTTCTAAAAAAAGTTTTGTAAGAGATTTGTAAGGTCAGTTATAATTTATTTATAAAGTCAATTATTTAGAAATAAAAATACGTATCTGCCGATTTCAAATTTCCCTTCACTTTTCTTACTTTGAGCACAACAAGCGACTGAACACGAGACTCCGCGAGCTATTGCTGGCATTAAAAACGAGGAACTACTTGGACAGCATACCAGCTTTTGGGTGACTCTCATTACGGTCTTGATTTGGTACCGTGTGACCTCTTTCTATATCCTCAAGTAAAATAAAACAGGTGAAAGGTATATGGTTTTCATCGCCGGAAAATGCCCCAGCAGCGTTCGAACAGGCCGTTCGGGTGTCCATAAAACTGTATGCCTATCATCTGTGGTGGGGAGTTCTTAGAAAGTATTTAAAAATAAAAACTTTAACCATAGAAACCTTTTTTAGTTTAGCAAAACTATTTGAGTGGCCCTTATGTGTATTATAAGGGCCACTCAAATAGTTCTTTATTTGTCATTAATATAATACACAACGGTGACTTGTAATGTCATAGTAAACAATTGCGTATCGTATTTCAGTAATAGTCATAAACCTATAAATAATTAAATCTTGGACATAGGCTCCAGAAATGGAAGACATATTAGTCATACACTTAAAGATATTATGCCTAGCATTTAATTACGTTATATCGATATTAAAAATGTGGTAAACATCACTTAATAGACTAGATATGTTGTTATTCAATTATATAACAAAACAGCCGTTGTATCATAAAACAGTAAGGTAACATTGCTAGGACTTAATACCAACTTTGCTCAAACGAAAGCCATTAAAATGTTAGCTTTCTATTATCGTGCCATATAAAAGTATTTTTTCTAAATAAAGGTCCACGCGTCGTACGCTATTTAGAAAAAAAATTACTTAATAGGTATATAGTTTAAGCAAAACGCTATAAACATTGTGCCAGCAATGCCTTTATACTCTTAATTAGTCGAATTGGTTTTGGTTCGTGGCATTGTGCGATGGCTATAATATTGACTCGTGTAAATTAAAAAAAAAAAACGAATTATTTTTATAATATTTTATATAAAATTTACTTGTTAATGCAAATTTAATTGCAAATAAATCGCCATATTATGTTTACTTTTATGACGATATATTTTTACATTTCCACACTATATTTCCGAAGGTATAAGATAGGTACAGGCACGAAAATTGTAAATGAAAGTTATTTAATGTTAATGTTATTCAAAGGAAGTTTCACATGCAAAAGAATTCGTACTAATCAGTTATGAAACATATTACATTAAATATAATGTTTAACCAGTAAGACATAATGTATAGGTTCATATTACGTCATTAACATGGATAATGCATACTCAGATTGTACGTCATCATTATCACTTATCAACGATACCATATCACTTACAACCCTAGCATAAAGCAAATATTCATAATATCACATAAACCCGTTAATTCCCTTTATCGTTATGGCACCATTACCATCATTCACATCATATAGCCCGATGTTCGCAGAGCCCACGATCCTCCCACCTGGCCCTGTGGTTTCCATTCCCTAACGCGGTGTTCAAGGACCAGCGCCAGCACTCTTCTGACCTCAGGCAAAAGGTTTGCCGGACTAGGGTTGATGTTAATATCACTAACTTGGGATGCAGATGTCGCGGCGGCATTGGAAAGACGCTATATTGCATTTTTCACTGTCAAATCCTTTAGCCAATAGCTTTACGCAGTCGTACAAACCCCAAAAATTGTTTCAAAGTTGCACTATTTATTTATTTTTTTAGCAATGTGCGCTAATTATTTTCATTGTTTAATGGCAAATCTTTTTAGTCAGTCTGCAATATGCTAGACATTTTTTTTGTCGAATATTAATTTTTCTTTAAATACTAAATTGCTGAAATCTATGCATAACATCAATCAGAAAGCAGTTATTTTTTATTTATTAATTTTTTTAAATGTCACCGCGACACTTTTGCGGATAATCGTAGTCACTAATTGTAAAAAAAACTCACCATTAGATATTTTCACATAAACATTTGATCTCTATTTTACGTAATATTATATATTGTTTGCGTTGCTAGATTTATAGGTATAGAAAATTTATCTTTATACGTAGATAGATACATTTCAGTTTTAAATTAATGTCTTTTGAACCGTTCCAACGCATTCAAGTCAATTTTGTGTTTACATTATCAACAACTACATTGGTTTTTATTGATTTTAATTTAATATGCCATCTGTTACTGTTAATACTTGAACGTTGACTTGGTTCATAAGATTAAGTTAGACAATTGTAGTAAGATATATATTTTAATTCTTATATAATTTTATCAAAGGTAATATTGCATGCGATTTGTCTGTATGTATAGCTCGTATCACGTTCATTGTTGTATCATAAGGAATCGGACACATGCACTCAGCACCCTAGTCGTCAACTAATTTGACACAACTAATTTAGTGTCGTGTTTTGTTTTTAATGTTTGTCGAATTCATTTACATACGTACATATTATGTTAAGTCCCTACGATTCTGTTTACATACGTTGTACTAGTGTTCGCATTTGAAGATGTTTTTCGATCAAATTATATAGACTAGTAGTACAATACTTACTTATTTAAATTGTTTTACGTGATAAACTAATATTTACATTATTCAAAATTAAAAAAAAAAATTATTAGTTTCCAATCATATCATTCTTAGTTGAGTACAAACGTAGCTTGAACGATTTATTAACGTAGATAGTATCATTTAGTGGATCATCCTCATTCATCTCGTCACGTGTTCGTCGCCTTTCATGTTAATGTGCATTCCAGCTGTTCACGTTGTGGTCGTGGCTGCCAGTACGTATCACGATGTACCAACCGGTGCTTTTGTACACAACAGAAGAGCACGGCTGCTCACTTACCACGTTTTACGTGCGAGTGGAGCATCATGAGCCCACGTTGCTCATGATAAAAACGTGCAACAACGAGGTGAGATTTATTTTTTTAAAGCAACTTTTCAATCACAAGTTTAAAACAATTTGTTTTGTTAGGCTTTTAAGTTAAGCTAAACGCATAGAATACCGTGTTTCATACGGTGAGTGATGAGAATCGTACTCTTTTTAATAGTAACTATGAATTATAATTCTTATCTCTCATCTTATTTCTCAGGGATGACAACGCATTTGAATTTTGATACTTGAGGTTATATAAGGTCAGGGAAAAGGACTATATTGTGGATGCATTAACACTTCCCAACCAAGCTCTCTCAATTTTTGCAGAATGGCCAGAGACGGGTGTGGTCTGGCGTTATCATGAAGAAAAGACCACTTCTTTTCTGCTTGATCAATTCCGGCAGTAGAAATCCGAATCGATGATTTTGCCCGGCGGTAAAAGCACATAATAAACGATGCCCTTCCAATCCTACCATACACACAGGCCCAGCATTACCTTATTGCATGTTAATTGTGGTTTCGCAACAGTCTGTGGAGTTTGACTACCGTTTGACCAAGATCTTTTTCACACGTTCTTGTCGTCGGTGATCCACTTTTCATCACCAGCGATCAATCTTTTCAAAAACGGATCAGTTTCATTACGTCAATAGAGAATCACAAATGAATACACGATTCATTAGGTTTCTTTGAGTGAGCTCATGTGGTACCCAAATATCGACCTATTTTGTATAATTAGACTTTTACCCCGACCTTTTATTTCCAGTTAGGCGTTTTTTTTTTTTTGTAAATTAGCGAACATAAACGTCTTCTCTATGAACTTAAATACCCTCACCACTTACAATTAACAATGCTGGTTATACCTATTGTTCAATATGCCACAGTTTGCTTAAAAGATGAAACTTTTATAAAAAAGTAGTAATATTAGTAAAATCAGAAATTTAGTACGATGATAGGTGTAATATTTCTCCGTTAATGTATCCCATTGCTGGATAAAGTCTATCCCCATGACTTATTACCTGACCGGTGTAGTCAACCCATTTCATTCTGTGGATGTCGTAAGAGGCGACAGAGGGAAACTGAATCAGGAGACGGGCGGCAGCGGCAATAGAAAACTGTGGTTGCCATCCCGCTCCCTAAGCGTGGCAACTGTGGCAAATATCCCCTCTTTGAGGTAATTTATGGGGAGGCCTATGTTCAGCAGTAAACTATTGATAGGCTGTAAAGATATATCGCTTCTTCATTTTTATTTCTGCCTAATAATCTAAAAGGCCTTTCTCATTATCTCGAAATAAACGCACACGTTCGCAGGTGTTCGGTGCGTACTGCTCGACGCGATGGTTTGAGCGCAACCAGAAGGACGAGCGCGGCAACCGGCAGGCCTACTTCGGCACCGGAGAGACATTCCTCTTCAGGTAACAAACACGGTTCACAAATAAATTGCATTTAATGTATAACGTAAATTAAAAATAAGTATTTTAGTCTTTTCCCCATATTAACTAAAACATAAAATGTAAAAGCTTGAATTTTTTGCACTAAAAATTTATAAAATCTACAAAAGTTCACAGTAGTAGTAAAATTTGGCTTTATTTAAGTTACATTGAGTTTCCAACAGTAGGTATTGTGAACCTTGTAGTATATTACTTTGAGTTTAAACTTATAATGAATCTTAATACTTTGAGTACTTTCCTACTTCTTTTATTAAATTTTTCCATAATACAATTTTCTAAATAAATAATAGTTGGGGTCCAACTCTGTTCATCACAATTATTTATTTCTTTTTTTCAATCTTGCTTTCAAATGGATTTACTTCTACACTGTATAATATGTATATGCGTTATCTTATTTATTTTACAATCGAAAATTCATAACGATTAAATCGTTTAATTTTTATTTTTTTAATTTTCACTGTCTTTTAGTTTTCTTTATTTCTTTAAAACTTGTAATTGTAGAGTTGTTTAATGTGCTTGAATTTTTATTTAAATAATATATTACGTTAACTTAAATACAGATTCTTCGTTTTTAATTCCAGATACTAAAATGATAACATTTTATGATGTGTTGCTACTTTGTTAGCATATTTTAATTAGTTATATAAATTGTTGCAGTTGTGCAGTAATCGGTTTGAGTCGTAAAACCGTATCAGATAATGATTTAAAAATATGTAAGGGAAAACTAATAAGTATGACGTAAATGAAATGGCGATTTTCACGTGGCAAGTGAAACATCTATTTTTTACCGTTATTTAGGCAAGTGGCTTTTAAAGTAAATTCATTGAGCAATGATAAATAATGTATATTGTATTATATTGAATGTAACATTAACTATTTAATAACCTCAATAAAAGTACTTGTTGGAAGGACCCCTTTTGTGCCTAGGAATCTGTCTGGGTAGGTTACCATCCTCGCTATTTTTGCCGCCAAAGATCAGTGTCTGCACTGCTGTGTTCCTGTATGAATGGTATAGATAGCCAATATACAGGCTGTGGGGAATTCTTTCGGAGTCCTCGAACGTGACCACACTGCCTTCGCTTCCCTTCGCAGAAGTAGCTTGTTAGTTACTCTCTCATGTGATGTGGACTGTAAGTTTATTAATCACTACTATGTTATAAAAAATGTGATGCACAATCAAAACAGATTTAAAATAACCTCAGGGATACCATATGCTAATAAATGTAGCAACATTATTTTCAAGTTTAACATTAGTAATTGTTAATTTAGTCTGGAATTTTAAAAAATGAACTGTCTTTGACTGTATATAGTAAAATATGTGTTATAAATGTATTGTTTTATTATTTTCGCTATCTGAACTTAAAATTTATTTTGTACGTGGAAAAATTAATAAGTTTCTACTATTTCCTAATTATAATTTCTGGAGTCAAAGTTGTAACTTTTTAAGTTCAGATATAACAAGCCTCACAACATTCTATATATTTTTCAACAACTTCTTTTTAAAATTTATACGTAGTATGCGTTCTGTTGTTTTTCTTTTATATGAGGCTTGTTATTTATACTTCAGGCGCTTCGGGTAAAGCTTATTCTTAGTCTTTGGCTGCACACTGGCTTTTTTCACATATTATTTGTCTTAGATCAATTGACGCTATATTAAGACTTGTACTACACTCGTAAAAAATTATATTGTTCGCAAGTACAAAATATTTATCTTAGAGTATTTTTTATCTTTATGTATGTATTATATTTTATGTATTGAAATACAATTCTGTATGTAGTTCCGATTATTATAATTACTGAATTTTGAAGTTATCCACATTATATCGTATGTAGGTATATCTTATTTATCAAAATAAAATTTATGTTTGTATTTAAATTATATATTTATTATATTTGTATATCTTTGAGCTTTTGATATACTAGCCAAGATTTTCATATAGTTTATTTTTGTAAATTTAACCTTTCATATAAATATTTAAACTATTATAACCGAAAACAAATACTTTACTAACTCACCTTTACTACTTTTTTCTTACTTCTTACAATTTCTTTTTCCGTTCAACGTCTTTTTTCTTTCAATCATTTCTATTGATTGGTACTAAACTTTCTTATTACCCTTTCCTTGGAATGATTTTTCTTAACTTTTTGAATATTGTTAGTTAATATTAGAATACGAGTCTCTTTCTTTTTCCTTATCTTGTTATTTTTGATTTCTGAAATAAATAATTAATGATTTTGTAATTTTTGTTGATAAAAGTAGCTTTAAGTGAGATTTCCATATTTTACTATTAGATCCAAAGAGTGATGTGAACTATGTTGTTAATCCCAAATGTGAATGTTCTTATTGCATAAAGTAAGAAATATTTAGATCAAAAATTTTATAGTGTTTTAAATATATACATATTATGAAAATCGACCTTTTTTTATGACTTTAAATTTTAGATTTTAAGAGAATTGATTATGAACACTTATTGTGTCGTGTGCAGTCTATCTCGTAGAATGTTCATACACGAACGACCTGCGATATACTAGGGTGGCCAACTATTTTAATACAAATAATATAATAAATAGACTTAATATTTTCAGAATTATTAAAATCCTTAAAAGAAACTGAGCTAATTTAAATTACGGACGATCAATAACTGAATTTATATACAATTTAGGAAAATATGCATTATGAGTTCCTGGTATCTATATAAAATGTTTTATCGCACAAACCCTACACTCCATACTAACGGCCTAATTTAATTTACCTACTACTACAAAAGCACCGCCTGTCCACACACGTTTTGTGTTTCCATAACGATATAATATGTAAGACATCGAACATAAATAAATAACCATTTTCTTATTTTATACACTTTATTTTTGGAAGGTAATTTTTTCTTCATTTGCGAATTAGACTGATTGAATGATATGAAAACGACATGAATTGTATCTCTATATGCCGTGTATATTTTTTGCCAACCCGCTCGCCAAGCGTGGCAACTATGGCAATATACCCCCCATGATGAAAGTTACGAAGAGACGGCCCCCAGTCCCCGGCGGCCCCGCTATTCCTGGCTACCATGGTAACGGCAGGGCAAGGGGTGCTAAGAATCTCCGGTGGAGGTTCGGTTGCCACCTACGATGACTCGACCTGGCAATATACAACGCACGCACCCTGAGGACTGACGAGAAGATTGTGGAGCTGGTAGAAGAGATAGACAAGTTACGCTGGCATATTATAGGATTATCCGAAGTCCGAAGAGAGGGGGAGGACACGGTAATCCTCGAATCCGGCAACTTGCTCTATTACCGGGAGGGCGACCATCTGTCCCAAGGAGGTGTCGGATTTATCGTCCACAAGTCTCTCGTTAACAACGTTGTAAAGATTGAGAGTGTGTCGACGAGGGTTGCGTACCTTATACTCAGAATCACCAAACGGTATTCGTTGAAGGTCATACAGGTTTACGCACCAACCTCGGCACACCCCGATCAGGAGGTGGAGGAAATGTATGAGGATATCTCTAGAGCCATGCATTCCTCCAAAACCCAATATACGGTGTTAATGGGACACTTCAATGCAAAACTAGGCACAAGAGAGAACGGTGAGCTGAAAGTGGGGAAATTTGGAATAGGGCAACGGAACCCAAGGGGCCAGCAGCTGGCCGACTTCATGGAGAAAGAGGGACTCTTTATGATGAACTCTTTCTTCCAGAAGCGGCCCCACAGGAAGTGGACCTGGTCGAGCCCCGACGGTTCGACAAAAATGAGATTGACTTCATTATGACGACCAGACGACAACTGTTCAGTGATGTCTCAGTGATCGCGAGGGTGAAAACCGGCAGCGATCACCGAATGGTTAGAGGCACACTGAACCTAAACGTTAAGTTGGAGAGGTCTCGTCTAATGAAGTCAACGCTCCGTCCCCCTCGTGCTCTAATCCAAAGTCCCGAAACCTTTCAGCTCGAGTTACAAAACCGTTTTCAGTGCCTAGAAGACAATGCAATGCAATGAAGTGGACGATTTGAATGACAAGCTCGTGGAAACTGTCCATGCGGTCGGAGCTAAGTTCTGCAAGACCCGCCGCAGAAGAACACAAAAACTCTCCGATCACACTCTTAATCTCATGGCTGTTAGATGGGAGATGAAGCTACATTCTTCAACAGATTTGACAGCATACAGGCAACTGAACAGACAGATCTCCAAACGCATGCGGCGGGACTTACGCAACTTCAATACAGCTCGTATTGAAGAAGCGATCGAGCGGAACCAAGGCTCCAAAGTCTTTGCCAGAGATCTGTCTGCCAGAGAGAGCCAACTGTCAAAGCTGAAGACCGAATGTGGCAGCATCGTTTCCGGGGCACCTGAGATTTTGAGTGAGATTGAGAGGTTCTATGGGCAGCTGTACACGTCATCGTTGGAGCCGCACGCAAGTGTGAGTAACGATCCAAGAGCGAGTCTTATCCGACATTATTCCGATGATATCCCGGACGTCAGTCTGAGCGAGATTAGAATGGCTCTCCAGCACCTTAAAAACGGCAAGGCCCCAGGCGAGGATGGAATTACAGCGGAGCTTCTGAAAGCAGGTGGAAAACCGGTACTTGAAGTCCTTCAGAAGCTCTTTAATTCCGTCCTCCATGGTGGCATTACACCGGAGGCGTGGAGCAGAAGTGCGGTGGTCTTGTTCTTCAAGAAAGGCGACAACGCGCTCTTGAAGAACTACAGACCGATTTCCCTTCTGAGCCACGTCTACGTGCTGTTTTCGAGAGTCATTACGAATAGTCTCGCACGCAGACATGACGACTTCCAGCCTCCCGAACAAGCCGGTTTCCGAAAAGGCTTTAGCACCATAGACCACATACATACCCTTCGGCAAATTGTACAAAAGTCCGAGGAGTACAATTTGCCACTATGTCTGGCGTATGTGGACTATGAGAAAGCCTTTGATTCCGTCGAAATTTGGGCGGTGCTGCAGTCCCTTCAAGTAAGTCCAACTTCGACCGAGAGGTCAATCGACGAATTCAACTCGGTTGGGCAGCGTTCGGGAAATTACGGCACATCTTCTCGTCAGGTATACCTCAAAACTTGAAAACGAGACTGTACACCCAGTGCGTGTTGCCAGTGATGACATACGGAACTGAGACGTGGTCCTTCACTGCTGGCCGGATGAGGAAGCTCAAGGTCGCTCAGCGAGCTATGGAGAGAGCTATGCTCGGAGTTTCTCTGCGTGATAAAACTTAAATTATACAACTGCGGGAGCGATGACGCGAGATATAGGCTATGCGATTGGTTGCGTGTCTTCTGAGCTTGTGAGAACGCCGTTAACACAAGAGTGCACATGCTAAAGGTATAAAAGGCGGTAAATAGGAAACCCGGAAATGGGCTCTGCTCATTGGAATATAATAATTAACGAATATCATAACCGCTAGGTGGTAGTGCAAAGTGGCGCGAACAATATGACTCACAGGACAGTGAAATGGTTAATAATACGAATATATGCTATCCCGTAGTTTCCTTCTAGTCGAAAATAATCTGTTCCTATCTTTCGTTCTAAATTATTAAAATAATAACATATTACCTACACCTACCCTACTACCTACCTACCTACACTACTCAAATATACAGTATATTAAATATAAATAATCATTATTAAATATAAATATATAATTTAAGAAAATTAATCATAAACCCTATACTTTAAAACTTAAGTTTCTTACATGAACATAATTTTGAATACAAATACAAATATTTTTACTTTATATAGCAATGCGGGTTCGAAATAAAGTAAATTACTGTATGTTGAGTTGGCAACTCTAGTCGTAGTCGTGTGTGAGGATTAGATAACATGCGTATTCCAGCCTTTACCCGGAGCGCGCGAAGTATCCATGGGTGGGTTGTTCTGCGGGCGCGGGCGGGGGCGGGGGCGCGGGCGCGGGGGAGGGCCGCGGCGAGGAGCAGCGCGTGGCGCACGGCTCCGAGCTCTTCATGGCCGCCGACTCCAAGATGATCACCATCGGAGGCGGGTCAGTTCCTCACTCTCTCACCTTTCAGCCTGCACCCCGTGAGGGCCAAGTACCCGTGGGTCGGCTGCCTCCAGGAGGAAGGCGAAGGCGAGGCGAAAACGCCGCACGCGAACTCACTCTTCATGGCCGCAGATAACACCATGATAACCATCGGAGGAGGGTATGTCGGTTGCTGGTTGTGGGCTCGCATTAGTTTGAGGCTATTAGAATTAATCTCTTTAGAATAGACGCTCATGTTCTATGGATCCCATTTCGTATATCCACATTCTATTAAAACACCATAATCAAACGCTTCTTGTTCTCCATCAGCCCATAAAGCTAACTGTGCGACGGTTTGGCTTAATAGTGACGCTTTACTAGTAATCAAACTATCGCTACCATACTCGTCGCACCTTTCTATTCCGGTCTGGGTATTATATTATGTGGTGTGATGTGTATTATATTATATTATGCGTATAATAATACCCACGAGTATAGTTATATTTATGCGTATTATTATACGTCTTAGGTAAACGAGATAGTGTGCCACCATGTATCGAAAGCCGTTAGATGTTACTGGAATTTCCCATAATCGTCTCTTACAATAACCATGGAAGGAAACGCGACAGAAAATACAGGTCTGATGGACATGGGCCTCTCCCATATCATCAGCATTTTAAGTCCACTAAATTAAAAAGTAATCTTGCATCGGCCGGCACGGTGAACGTATTAACGTATTTAATATATTTTAAACGAATAGAGAGATTTCGGTTGACAATATGAACTTTTCCTATTAAGCGGTCCCAACACTACATTTTAAAAAATTGCGCTTGCTCATTGCCTGGGAGTTTTTCTCATTATCACCAACCCGTGCATGAGGCTGGTGAACACAGATACCCTTAACAGTGCTACTCACAGCTAGTGTGTGTAGAGATGGAAGATGTTTTTTCCGCAGTTATCAATAATTCTCAAAGCCTAATTTGTCGGTCAGCGCCTGCAGGTAAGGTTAGAAAAGTTTTACAAATAGAGAATGTGCAGGACATCTTGCAGAGTGCAGACGATTTTCCACAGTCTGATGAGCATATACTATAATGACTACATGTTTGTCAGGCAAATGTCAACTGTGTACACTTAGATTATATAAAATGTCCAGATTCCGTGTTCAATACAAAACGCAACATTTATCGTGAAGCCAATTTATATACGTGTGTGAGTGAACGCCACGCTCTCGAGTATATTAGGTATCGCATTTGCGTTTGTGTGCAATACGAGTGTAATACCAGCGGCACAGAATTACCCCAAAAATGTGGGAGTTTATTTTAAGTTTAGTGTAAGGGATAATTTTCATCATTACTGTTGCTGATTTTTAAAGTTATTTGCTTTCATTAGTGTAATTTATCGTGTGCAACCGCTGTGTGGTGTGCTTATGTAAGTTTACTTTTTTTGTAAAACGTACAAACATTTTATAAACCCACACAATGTTTTCGGTTTACTTAAATGGATAGTAAGCAGGAGCAGCCCAATCAATAGCTGTAACCGCTCAAAATCCGATGTCAGTACGTTATTTTCATATCAACGCTGATTTTTTTCAAGGATTAGTTTCTAAGCAAAATTGGAAGTGGGCTGAATATCGGACGTGTTAGTTTTCCGACAAAGTACCGCTAATGTTCCTAAAATATGGCTCGCCATATCTCAAAAAAATACATACAAACTTAAAAACCACATTGAAATCGATTCCGTGCTCAGAGAGCTGTGAGGTTGAAGAAACAAACTAACACTCACAAAAACAATCATCGTTCATGTTAATAAAACTCTTAAGTCATACCTCGTTTCTTTTTTGAGAGATTTTAAAAAGCTCAAAATATGGGTAAATAGATTTCATATCCTTGGCAACACTCAACAGTTGTGGCGTCACATTAATGTCAATAATAAAAAGTGAAATACAAAGTGAAATGCTAATTAACAACAGAATATTATAACATGTTAAGGCACTTTTCTTTTTTGAAGTATAATTTTTACACGATTTCATAGCACAAACTGTAATTTTTTCAAAATCAAACCACCGACTCGTGACGTGTTTAAGCGGGGAACATTCCTTGGCGTGTGGCGCGTGGATCGAACGAAGTAGTCAATATTGACTACTTGTATTTGACGTCAATTGACGGTGGTCTACTAGGAATCTGGACATTTTATATAATCTATGTGTGTATAGTTCTTGAAATCCACTAAGTCGAGCAAACTTTACTTGTGGTAAACACGTATCTGTATACGTGTCAAAGTGTGCGTGAGATCGAAAGCGGGTATGTTTAGCGACAGCACGCTGGCAACCGCAAGTCGGAACTGATCGCTTCCTCAGATACGCACACTATCGCAATTTGCATGTACACTTTCAACTTCTTTTTTTTCACGACTTCGTGAATTGCAATAACTATACCAGACATTTCGCATCCTTGATATAACGTCCACGTCCCGATCTGGGAATTTATATCAATACTATTAAGACTATCAAGGGATACATACATAGATTGTTATTATCTTTGATATTTTTATTTTGCCATCTCTCAGAAGCTACTAGAACTTCCTGACATTTCTTTAATCCACTCTCTTATGACATCTACAGGACACGACGAGGTGATGGGGAAAGTCTCGTTCGGAAGACTTTTATGTATTCAATTATACGGAAAGTGTACGAGGATGCTCTGTTAATAATTAAGTTATAAATTGCTCTTATGTCTCTTCCGCATAATAATTACAACCCACTTTCCAACAATTCAATTTCTTATCCTAATTTTTAAAGTAGTCTCTTGTTAAGAAGTGGTATTTATTCTGGTATTATTGACATTTTGTCGACTATTCTTTATATTCTAAATGTTAAAAAGCAATATTCTCATATTAACAACCCGTGTTACAGTGAGGGTCAGGCGATATGGATGGACGAAAACATTAGGTTCGGCAAGACTGACCGCTGCTCTACCTTCAACAACCCGCCGTTGTGTCCAAGTGGCGACTTCGAGATAAGAGTGCTCGAAGTGTACGGCTTCTCGGGAGCGTAGGTCCGGAACGAGCGGACGTCCGTGCGGAGAGAAATCTCGATGTATTGTGTTCTTGCGATGTTATCCCCGAGTGTGATTGGTGATCCTTCGGTGCGTTCTAGCCGAATCAAACCTGCTGCAATGGGTTCTCTTACACCACTGATTATATTGACAAACGTGAGTTGGCGAAATAGTAATGCAATAAAAATACTGTTTTGTTGTTTTTTTAGAATCACATCAACATTTTTTTATTGTTTATTATCTGTGAAGTTGAAAATTAATCGGGTTTATATTTCTTCTATATTTACACTATAAACCATCCTGTGGTGTATGAGAACACAATTAAAGTTATTGTGTAGTGAGAATACGCCATTTGCAATACTTTTGAAAATTTCATATTAATCCCTAATATCGTTAAAATAAAATTAGTCATTCAAAATATTGCATATGCCGGTCGAGGTGGTCAATAGATTGCATGCGGCTAGAAAATTTTCTTGGATCTCTCCACAAATGTAATCCATATTTATCCTTACCATCGTTTTGTATGATTGCGTTACCAAAACATATGTTTTCTCGCAATATCTTACTTCCATCAATATTTCAGTACTCTGTCGCGAAATACAAGAAAATTTGTATGAAATATTATTGACAACCTCTTGCCGCGAAAACAGACTGTGTAGATGTATTCCTAAACTAATTCTCTTATTAATTGATTGGTGTGACCCCGTAGCGAGTATATATCAACACAGCTGTCCGTTCAAGACAACGAAAACGGGGACTTAGGTTGTTTCTATATATGTATACATATATATTTAACTATAAATATAAATATTTTATCGTGTTTAGATGTGTTCGTGTAAGTACAAAATAATTGTCGTACCTACTTGGATTTTATACGCTTAAACGAAAGCAATATATATATATATTTTTGTGGCCTAGCCGTGCCGTGGAAATATTTGAGTTTGTTGATGTCGATGTGAACATTCCAGTGATCGCCTTAAGGTCCTTACGATCGGCCGTAGTGAAACGTGAATCGAAGGAATATGAAATCTATGTTGATAAACATAACGATCATTCTAATTTATTGGCAACGACAGTATTTGGTGTAGAGAATATGGCGTATCCGCGATATCGCTTTAAGGCTTGTCATATTATACTCAAACTTACAGAATATAATCAATTGTCTTTGCTCACAAATATGTACCAAAGATGTTAATAGTAAGGAAGTGATTTTGCGTTTTCCTGTTTCAAATGTTTGGCTGGTGGCATGACGAATATAAATTAGCTTGTAAAACATTAGATCTATCAGACTGATGTAAAATTCAAAGAGGCTTTATATTAATTAATACTAATTTATTTTTTTAATTGGCATACATATCTCAAATTATTATTACACAAAAAGTATTATTAATTTTACGATTAATTTATTTAAACAAATTGTACATGCATGGAGAGTTCGATATGTCGTCTATACGAAACATTTGAAACAGGACATATAATGTAGGGCTACCGCAAATAGGCGTAGTATTGCGTCGTCAAAAACGTTATCATCTATTATAAGAATAATTTAACAGATTGAAATATAGAATTTGCGGTAGCCCCGCAAAAGCAGCGTTGGATGTTGCCATGTAACGCGTCGCATAGTATTATTTACACATATTTGGACGATAATGTGCCAAAAATGGACCATTTCAAAAATATATACAATTGGAAGGGTTCTGGCTATCGTGAAGTGTTGGTGGGATTTCGCTTTTCTCTATATAATAGTTATTTACACATTTTCTCCGTGTAGTTCAGTACTTTTCTGACGAAACATAAAGTGGATGTTTGTAAATTATTAATCAAACTTTGAAATAAATTATTAAATTTTCCTCTGCTATGATAACGTAATATAGAATTGATGAAATAGATAAGAATAACATGCAATATTACTATTCGATGTCACAAGTCATACAAAATACATATCCCTGCCAGTACAAATGGGGGCTTACTTGCGTTCATATCACTAGCGGGCTTGTTTTTGGCTACGTTTATTTGTAAATATTTGTTTTCCTGTTCCTTTATCTCTGCCCATATCAGTCTTACTGAGATTTAGTTACTTTCAGTCTGAAATCGAATTATGAGAATTGTTTTCAGAATGAGCCTTTTTTAGCCTTTCACGTGTACGAGAGGTGTTCCGTACTCAGTAGTTTTAATATTTGACAGTAAGTTGTGATGTGCAGAGATGTTTAAACGTAGTGCAAATGGGATACGTGACGGTACTCAACAAACAATATGTTAATCAGAAGCCTAAGATTTGTTTTAAATTCAGATTATTTATATGTAATTTATTGACTAGGTATCAAGTATGTTTTGTAGTGTATATAATTATATAGTCTCTGCGGACGGTGGCGCAACTTGGTCACATGTTACGTTTTAAGGATGCTATATTATTTGTTCGCTCAGTTATTTGAGTAACGCACTGGCAGCACAGATTCTTGTTACAATTCTCTGGCAACATTATATGAATATAGTGTATGTGAGTGTGTGTTGCCAGTGCCAACGCCGCGCGCGTTTGTTTATTTTTAAGTTGAAGCTGTCCCCACTGCCCGCAGAGCGGCGCCACACGCGATATGTTGCTGTTAGCCATTTTGTCGTTGATCAGTGTAAAGTCTAGTCTTTATTCTGTTTTTATTCTTTAACGATGTAATACCTAAATATTTACGAATTGATATTTAAAATGTGCGATTTCGCCCCGGTCGTGGGGCAAAGTAGGCTCGTGGTTAGTTAGTGTATAAGTACATTTAATGTAAAGTATACAATTATTAATCTCTGTTCTCCCTTTCAGTATTTGTGGTGTACGTTCTTTTATGTGAGGAGCAAATGTGTATTGAGGCCAAGATGGCCGCGAGCGAGACTTGTTACGATGTACTGTTACATTCGAATAGTTTTAGTCCGCCGCACTCGCGACGGTATAAAACTCGTTTATGGTAATGTAAATGTTGCTTTATAATGTCTACAAAATATATAATCCCATATAAAGACTGTGATTTTATTTTACAACCCACAAATTCCAGATGATTCCATCATCAAACATACAAAGTAATGCACAGGAATTTCAAACTCAAAAGGCTTGATAAAATAATCGTACCTTCTTACCTAAAATAGAAGTTAGAGTCAAATTATACTAAGAAATGAAAAACACAGACTTAAAATAGTAATATGAAGCAAAAAAAAATATCCGCCAAGCCTACGCGCGGCTAGGCATATTTGCAGTACTTCAAAACATCGGTCGTATATTGTTATTTTAAAATTCTTACCTAAAATAGGGGTTCAATTAAAGAAGAAATGAGCACTAAAAGAAAAGACCGGTATGCTGAATTTGATACTTTCTAAAATAAGTTAAAGTAAGGTCCGGGCGTTATCATCTGAGTCATAGAGCAACAGGGGCCACTGGTGAACTGGTGGGGATTAGCCATGGCGTTTTTTCCCGATACCAAACTGTCGGTCTTTTTTTGCGGGGGGAAATCTACGCACACAAAAACAATCTTCTGTCACTACGAAACTAAAAAATATACTAACAATTTTACACACACAAATACATTATAACAGTGTCGTTTGGTGACAGCGACAACTCGGTTCAGTCGCTCGACCGATCTATATATTGTATGCGTGCGAGCGGCTTGTGTTGGTTAACAAATCCGAAACAATACGACCGTTAATCTGAACGCACATTTGTCCGCGCCGTACGCGCCGAATTTTAGAATTCGTTGTATGAAATCATATGAAACCTCGCACATCACACCCGCACCGTACGCGCCGAATTTTATAAAATGCAGTAGGTTAACGATATCGAAGGACGAATGCTGATGACATATAACGCGGCGCGTTTGGCTCGTGTTGATAATCAGCGTTGTTTAATGTTGCCAACTTAGTGGATTTTCCACTAAAACTGGTGGTTTCTACTTTTGTTTCGAGTTATATTTTTTAAGTGTTAAGTGTACACTGCGTTTAGAGGTTGGCACAAAAATGCTGCAACGAATTTGAAATTCCGATAAAAGTTGTGAAATGAATATTTAGTGATAAATTATGTAAGTAAATACAATAAAAAAAAATTTAATTCAAAACCCAATTATACCTGATACTTACCTCAAACATACAACAAGTCTTTCCTCTGGTTCAGTTGGCCTTCTAAATCTTGAGTTTTCCATAGAAAGACATGGTTTTAATATATGTGACAATTCTTGAAATTTCTTGTATGTTAAATGCAAATATCTAAAAATCGTTCATCATCATATAACAAGTCTTTAAATAAAGTGAAATACTCTCCATACAATCGCCTTTTTAAATTAATACCATGAATCCAGAATCTTCTTTTTCTTCGAATTTTGTTTTCTTCTTCCTCTGCCAATAAGCAGGCTATTACAATTTTTTTCCCATAGTGATTCCGAAAGTCTTTAATTTAATCTATCTACTGTATCGTTTCACGCCAGTGGTTGGAAAAAACTGCAAGAGTTGTTGGCAATCCAAAAGATTTGCGTACGGTGCGGACGATGCATACGTGCAAATTGGCCTCTAAAAAGCTTGGCGTGCTCAGCAGAGCGGGACAGTATTTCATGCCGGCTCAACGCCTGCAACTTTACAAGGCGCAGGTTCGGCCTCACATGGAATACTGTTCCCATCTCTGGGCTGGGGCTCCCCAGTGCCAACTTCTTCCACTTGACCGCATCCAGCGCAGAGCGGCTCGAATCGTCGACGACCAAGTCCTTTCCGATCGGCTCGACTCATTGGCACTGCGAAGAGATGTTGCATCTCTTAGCATTTTCTTTCGCATTTACCATGGGGAGTGCTCTGAGGAATTGTTCGGATTAATCCCAGCCGCCAAATTTCACGAACGCACATCGCGGCAGAACTCCCGATACCATCCACACCATCTGGATGATTGGCGGTCCACCACTGTGCGATTTAGAAGATGTTTTCTTCCTCGCACAACTTCCTTGTGGAATAGTTTACCACCAGCGATTTTTCCGGACCGATACGAC